TTTCTTCTCCAAGGCGGTCTAAATGGAGGGGCCCACTGAAGCCAACCCTCAGTAATTAACTGTCACAACGCTTCAAAACTAACAAATGGACTTTGTGTCAAGGAAGGCCCATTAATTTACTGGCCTCCACTCGTCGATTCAGAGCCTATTATCTCCATTACGGCGAGCTTTTCATGTCTGGCCATCTTCACCCACTAACCCTCAATTTCACTCTTACTTTGTACAGATTGCCAGGAATTTGCAGGAAGGCCGTTTGGATCATGATTCTGTTAGCACACAGGGGCTAAAGCACACGTGCTTCCAGACACACGACCGTCACTCGTGGCTGCATATGTAAATCACACGTGCATGAGTCATCTCAATGTAATAAGCCGTGATCCTCAGCACATAAATATGTGCAAGTCAACCCATACAAATCATTAAATTCTCACACGCATATTCCTTTATACACTCTTCAGATTTCTGTTTCCCTCCCAGTCAGGCATATTTTAAAACTCATACCCCACTCTCTTATTGGTTTGACAACCTGAGGGGAGAAATCTTCCATATGTGACACTAATAAGTGCTGCTTGGAGGGAAAAGGAGAGCCATTTCACTAAGAGGCATAAATAACTAAATAACATGCAGACTATGGGGTTTCTGTGATTTGTGATACAGCTGAAATGTATTGCTATTCCAAAGTAAGGTATTACCGGGGTTCTGCAGCGAGTCATAGACACTCTGACACTGTAGTTGGGTGGCGGTAAGATCCGGTTGGTCTTTTCAGGTATTTATGATGCTTAAAGCGCTCACAGCGTCTGGAACCATTTCTCTACCCATCTGAAGTAATTTTAGCTTTTTGAAAAGAGACAATGGTGCACCGTGAATCTGTTTGACGGGGTAGCTCACACAAATATGACAAAATACAAGGTATTTTATTCTTCACCACAAAAAGCCCTTCATTAACAAATAGAGAAAAAGGATTGAATTGTAGGAGAAAGTCGGTGCATTTAGAAAACTGGACTTTTGCCCTAAATAGACTGACGTTGTTTATTTTTTAAATGCATGTAAACGCGTTGGTCTTGTTGACAGTGAACTAGTTCTAATTGTGCTGAAGCACCCTGATAATGTGGTACTTTATCTGCATGTAAACGAATCAGTCGAGCTGATAGCAGGTACTTACAGAAGTGACAAGACCGCAGAAATGGTCTTCTGATAATACCGCCACAAAGTAACACATATAACACCATCAAGTAGTTCATTACGTATGCCAAACACGTACTGCAGGGTTGTTGTCCATTCCTTTGGCCACTGTGCACAAACTGTGTTAAAGGGACACTAGGCAGTTTTGGCAAGCTGTTATCACCCCCTAGTGTTCGTTTATTAGAACCAAAAGCAAAACTTCACTCCTTGCTGTGTGCTCGTCTTTTAAACGCTTTAGTCTAAAAGCGGAAATGTCTCCCAACCTTCATTAGTGTCTACAGGAGTGATTCATCACTAAATTAAATAAATCAGCTGCGTCTATGATCTTAATCATGCAGGAAACCTGCTAGAAAAAGACTGCAGCGCCAAGTTCAACAAACCGGACCGGCACTCTGAAGTTGCAAATGTAGTTTTCTGGCCACAGAAAGCAGTGGGGTTCTGTGTGACATTTCATTAATCCTGTAAAGAGACATTTTAGCACATAGTGGCTCAAGGAAAGGATTTAAAAATCTGAAAATTTTGCAAAGTATCACTTTACCTTTATCTGCTTCACTCCTGCCAGTGTTTGTTTACTAACTGTGTTGCTATAAGCTAACTGGAAGAATGCCGACGTGTAAGGGAGCCTGTTGCCTCCTACTTTTTTGGAGTGGAACAAATTTAATTTGAGGGTTCAGAGTTTGGATGTACATGTAAACTAGGATAAAAGGCTCCCATTTTATTAGATCAGAGCTATTCAATTCTGGGCCTCGACGGCTGGTATCCAGCACATTTCAGTGGTTTCTCTGGTCCAACAAACATGATTCAGTGGTTGTATTCCCTGTGCAGCAGCTCATCAGGCTCTGCAGAAGCCTGTTAATCACCTACTAATTGAAATCAGGTCAGTTCAAGCAGGATTACACCCAAAACGTGCTGGATACCAGCCCTGGTGGCCCGGAATGGAATAGCCCTGCTTTAGATCGACCTGGACCAACATGTAAAAGCACTTGGGATGATCCTGGTCTTCCCTATTTATAAACCACAGATGAAAAAATGACCAGAAAGACCTTTCAGTGGGCAGAGGAGAGCAGACCCAAGGTAAGACAAGGATCAGGGCGAAGGTTGGTAGCAAAGTTGTGTAGAAGAGAAGCAGAAACAGTCGAAAGCACCATAAATAAAACACCATTAGAGATTTACTAAATGAATCGATGGAAGGAAGCAAGAGCTGATCGATACACTGGTGGTGGTGGTGGTGGAAGTTGGCCCACCTGACGTTACATCATGCTTATAAATCTATTTTTCTTGACATCTATGTGAGGCTTTTGCTTTTATTTGCACCAGT